AATAAAAGTGATTATTCTTTTTTCTGACATCCATTTGAGGGTCACTAGAGGACAACTCTGTGGTGGGCAATGGAGATACAAGGACAAGTTTCCCCTGGTGAAAAGGGCCAGGGTCACTGACCGGGGCAGGGGTGCTGCTGAAGGCAGGGAAAGCAATTACCGTCATGTGTCATCTGATAATGGGGATATGTCCTGAGAAAGGCATCACTGGGAGACTTTGTCATCATGTGAACATCAGCGCATACTCACAAACCTTGATGGTGTAGCCCGCAGATGCTATATGTTCTAGTCTCTGGCTCCTAGGTTACAAACCTGTACAGCATGCTACTGTCCTGAATACTATAAGCAGCTGTAACATAACGGTATATATCTAAACATAGAAACGGTACGCAAAAGATCTAGGTGATAAGAATTTTTCAGTTTCTACAGTAATCTTATGGGAACACCATGGGATATACAGTATGGGGTTCAGGGAAACATCGTATGTGGTGCATGACTGCATTCCTGCCAGCAGGATGTGCCTACCTATTGCCTGGGATCTTGTTACAATGCAGCTTCTGACTCTGCAGGCCTTGGTCTGGGATAAGGCATGAGATCCAGCATGTCTACAAAACCACAGGACACCCATGCTGCTGGTCTGAGGACCACACTTTGAGTGAGAAACCTCTGTCCTAGTGGTCATCAAGGTGTGGCCCTCAAAAGGCCCAGCCATATTAGCATCACCTGGAACTTGTTCCAGATGCAACTTCTGGGGGCAATTCTGGTGCTCTTTCTAGCTTGAGTGCCATCTTAGGGACTTCATGCCTTTTGGAGTCCACATCCCCTTCTCACTCCTGCCCTCTTGCAGGAACTGTGCAGCTTCAACCTCAAAGGATCCCAGCTTTTTCCCAGAATTAGTATCCTGAGATTCTCTTTTCAGGTTCAATCTTGAGCTCCAAATGGTTTTGAGGCTACCCTCTGTGGGTGACATGGAAAGGGAGAGTAAGAAGATAGACCTAGGGGTGGAGGGTCTGGGCATCACTGGCCTGGGCCTCCCTGCCTCCTCCCCCCTCATTCTGTGCTTTTAGGCTTTTATGAGAACTCGTGCTCCCTCAGCCCCACCAAATTTAAGCAGGCAGACCAGCAATTACTTACAGAGGGACCACAAAAAAGTACATGTTTGCACTTTCCACAATCCTAAATCCCAGGTGATGGGTATTTGGGCCCTCTCCAGTAAGTACATACAAACAACACAAAGTAATCGTGTGTTTTCTAATTCTGTGTCTCTGTCACTCCCTCTTTGCCTCCCTCCATTCCCTCTCTACTATATTATTTTAAAAATTAAATAATACTCACATTGATGTTGCTTTGTTAAACCACAACTGTGCTCTCAAAATAAATCCACACATCTCGAGTGCCTGGCGGGCATTCTTCTGGCTGCTTTTCATTTGTGTGTGTTTTTAAAAACTGTGGCAAAATACACATAACTTAAAATCTGCTATCTTGCACATTATGAAGTGTGCGGTCCTGTGGAGTTAAGTACATGCATGTTGTTGTGTGGCCATGGCTACTATTCATCTCCAGAACTCTCTTCGTGTTGCAAAACTGAAGCTTTATACCCATTTAACACTAGCTCCCCAGCCCCTCTTCCCACCAGCCCTGGCAACCATCATTCCGTTTTCTGTCTCTGTGAATTTGACTCCTCTAGGTACCTCATGTAAGTGGAATGATATCTTATTTGTCCTTTGTGCCTGGCTTATTTCACTTAGCATAATGTCCTCAAGGCTGATCCCCGCTACAGCATGTGTCAGAATCTCCTTCGTTTTTAAGGCTGAATAATAATCCATTGTATCTATAGACCACATTTCACTTACCCATTCATCTGTTAAAGGACGCTTGGGTTGCTCCCACCTTTTGGTTATCGTGAGTGATGCTGCTGTTGGAATCTCTGTTTTCAATTATTTTTGGATATAGACCCAGAGAGGTAGGATTGCTGGGTTAAATGGTATATCAATTCTAACACAGTTTTTTTAAGGAACTATTTTCCAGAGTAGGACCATTTTATATTCCCATTATTTGTGTTTTATTGAATCCTCAGAGCACTGAGTTGGATACTATTCATCCATCACGCAGATGAGGAAACTGAGGTTCAGAAAGGTGAGACACACAAAGAGATTAGAGCTGTGATCTTCCAATAGGAGCTCCCAGCTGCTCCAGAGGTGAGGTCCAATGTCCTGAATCATGAGCAGTGAGTAGGTTTCCAGGGAGAACTTAGTCCTCAGAGATGGAAGTCAGGCCTCAGGATGGCAGTGGGAAAGGCGTATGTGAGACCTGACTCATTCTGACACTGCTGGGGGTCAGAGCTGGGGTGGGCAGCACTGGCAGTCTGAGAGAGGGGCTGTGGGGACTGAGCTGGCTCCACCATCAAGGCTGGTCACCATGGATCCTTCTTTGGAAAGCTGTCTGCACACCCAGGCCTGGACAGAGCATGGAGGTTGCTTCTCTCTTGCCCTTCTCTTTGCCTCTCTTGGGAACTAAACGTTTTGATTAGAGCACAGTTTGAGCATCATCCAGAATCCACTTAAAGTCAAGTCACTAAATTTGGGGAACCTCAGAGGTGCAGTAGGAGCAGTTCCTTTTCTGCTTATAGGAATTAGCAAACAGAAGTCACTGCCCTATCCTCTTACCAGCTCATTTTCTCTAGACATCTTTCGCCTCCCACCTTCATTTACCAAGAAAGAAGGTGTGAATTATGCTGGGTATCACTCTTCTGAGTGCAGCCAATGTTCTCATTCTAGAAATCAGAGATGAGGAAACCTAATAGCGAGCACTTGTGCTTCACCGGCAGAGTCCAGGTGCGTCTGCCCTTTCCTCCCCATTGTGGCTGCCATTGGGTTGGGAGGCCATCTCTCCTCTGTGAGGCTTCTCTCTAGTTTCTAACGTTCCTAGCATCTTTTTACAAGCTCTGTGTGGTACAGAGAATGAAATAGAATATAGGGAGTCCAGAGGGGCATCCAAAACCCTTCAGTACAAAAAGTGGTTAAGAGCAGTATGCCCTGGGCTGGCAAATCTGGTTGGAATCCCAACTCCTCCTTTACTAGCTGTGTGACCTTAGCAAGTCCTGGACCTCTCTGAGCTTCCATTTCCTAGTCTGCAAGTGGGCAAACAGTGTGGGCGGCAGGATTAAGTGAGATGACTGGCGTGAGCTCTCAGCAGAATGTTGTCAGACTGTAGGAAATGGGACCCCCTGGATGAAGCCCATCCCCCACCTCCAGGACTTCCTTCCTTTCTTCTTTCCTCACCAGGCTCCGCTGGCCTGGAGAAGCTGACAGCACCAGCCCTCTGTTTTTCCCCAGAAAAATATTCCTCCAGGCCTTAATCATGTGTGTTGTTTTTCTCTTCTCTCAATGTGTGTCTTTCTCTCTGGTAATAAGATGGTCAAACAAATGCCACGCTCCAGAGCCACTCTGATGAGACTTGCTGGAGGCAAGGAGGTGGCTGGAGGAGAGGCAGGGGCAGAGTGGTGTCGCCCCCCGCCCCCCACCATTCCACATTAAGGTGTTTCAGAGCTGGCATCTCCAAATTGTATTGATCTTTCCAGCTGCCATATCCCATTACGGCCTGGCATACTGTCCCTGAACTTCTCCTTCAGCTCTGCTGCATCCAGATTCCTCTCTCCCAAGGACCACTGCATTTCCAAGGTTTATCTTTTGGAAATATGAGCACTTATATTTTCCCTAGTGCATGTCACTTAATATATCATTTTTGGATAGTTCTCCTTGTTCTCCGGAGCCTTGGTTCAAATCCTAGTCCTGACCTTATTAGCTACTGTAATGTTGGCCAAGTTATTTAACTGCTCTGTGCCTCAGTTTCCTCATCTGCATAATAGAGATAATAACCTCACTGGATTATTGGGAGGATTACAGGTACAAATATGGCTGAAGTGCTTAGAATATCATTAGGCACGTAGCAGAAACAAAAATAACTTGTAATTCTCGCCTGGCATCAGCCTCCCTAGCAGAGAACTGTGAAGTGTGTGGCTGTGTCTCCCAAAGTGACCCCCTCAGTGGATCCTGTATACCCAGATCTCAGACTATTAGACTTCAACAACTAGTAGCATTTCCAAAATTTTGGGACTGGGAGACATGGGGTATCAACCTCTTCTGCTAAAGAAAAATATGATAGTTTAAAAGAAAGGTCATGGTAGTATCCAAAAGGAAACAAAGAACAATGTCTCAGAATGTAACCGTTCTTCTCTGCAATGACAGCAAGCAACTATGGTCTTGACTACATTGTGCCTTTTCTTCTTTCTTTCTCTTTTCCTTCTGGATCACCACCTGTCTGCACATCAGCATTTGGGAGCCACTGTCCTGGGGATCGTTTCAGCCACCAACTGAGAGGCTTCAGAAGGTGGAATTGCAGCCCTGATCCTTAAGAAAGGACCAGGAAACAGAGCTGAGTCCTTCTGGGTTCCTCCAATCACAAGAAAGTGCTGGGGAAACCCCTTGACAGAGAGGAGTGTCACTGTTGCCGAGCAGTTCTGGAATAGCAGTGCACACCCACTCAGCAAGGCGGGATCCTGGAATTCCCAGGGGAAGGAATCAGGCCCCGAGTGCTCTCAACTTTGTCGGGAGGAGCCACACCTGCCAATGTGTCCACTCCTGTGGTGTCAGGGCTGCTGTTTTCTCTGGTTGGAGTCCTTCTCCCAGCACCACCGTGAAGTCAGTGACTGCTGAAGCTGAGAAAACGCAGGGACAAACAGGTCCTGTCAGGACACCCGGCCGGCCGCTTCCTAGCTGGGTGAGGAATTGCAGGCGACTGGGGAGAATTTAAAACCAGCCCAGCTGCCACCCAGGAGAGTGACTAATCTCAGCACTTAAGGACAAGCCTCAGCACCAGAGAGACAGCAAGCAAGCCCCAGACTGGCAGTCATCAGCCACAGGGGACTGTGCCTCACCCTGGTATGTGTCTCTGGAGGGACCTGTCCCCACTCCCTGGCAGGAGACAGCCACCTGACTCACCCGGCTGGCGGCGTTCATGTCCGGTGCATCCTGCCATCTGTCTGCCTAACTCATTTTTGTTTGAGGCAGCTGAGAGATCTGATCCTGCCGGGCTTATCTAGGATCCACACGGCTGCCCCAAGCCTTGACCCCCTCATTACGATTCTCTGATTTGACCAGTGTTTTAAAATAAAAACCCTGCTTGAAGTGTTTAATACAGAGCATCTCGTCTCGGAGATGACACATGTCCACTGCACCGCACTCTTTACCATGTCTCCATTTCCAGCCTCCTTCCTGGGGGCCCAGCCCAGAAACAGCTGGCCCCGAGTTCTGGTTTGCTCCAATGTTGGTATGGAAGTCCCTAAGATGATAAAGACAGAGCTGTCACTTGCTCTCCTGGCAGAAGGAGAGGCCAGCCACGGTGGCACGCCAAAAAGTGGCAGGGCCTGAAAGTGTTCTCTGGACAGCAAACAGCTGAGCAGAAGCTTGGAATCCGGGTTCCACATCTTTGCCTTTTCATCTGAACTGGCAGTGGGCAGACATACCACCGGATGCTCCCCTTTCTCAAAGTAAAAAAGGGCTTTCCTGTCCATTGGCCTGCCCCCCCCCCCGCATTCCAAGACAGTGAACATTGCTGCAGCGAGATGGGTCTCATCTTGGACCCATGGGGAAAGCAGTGGCTTTCTGACCAAGTGGGGGCTGTTGGACTGTTAGTTGAATAATACAAACCTTTAGGGGCTGAGAGGCTCACTGGATGTGTTTTCTATACCCTAAGCCCTAGTTTGTTCATTCAAAAAATATGTTCTGTACTTCATTGTCTAAACCATACTTATCACCAGCGGATGGGGATTAGGGATAAATAACTGTGAATTCCATATCCATAGGATGCTGGCATGATGTTGATGCTAAGGGTGTGCATAGGAGGGGTAATCAACTGTCCGAGGAAAGGATGGACTGGGAATGCTCTGCAGAGGAGGTGGTGCTAGACCTTAGTCTTGAAGGAGGAGTCAGTGTGGGCAGTGTGGGTTGGGGCGGGAATGGCAGAAAAAATAGTGTGCAAGGAAGGTATTTCAGAAAGGAGAATGAGCATATGCAAAGGCACAGAGGTATGCAGTCATGGTATTCCCTGGAGAAAGGCACCTACTACTGAATGTGTAGAGCCCAGGGAGGCTAAAAGGAGAGCAGAGTGCTAGGTTATGGCTTTGTTATGCCTGCTAACAGCAACGAGAGCCTTTCTAGAATTCTACTCTCTCTGAAAAGTATTCATAACTTGCAATTTACAACATTTTCAATTTGTAAAACCTAAACAAGTTTAAAACCTAGCAACCCTGCTTTACAGGGGAAAGAGGCCCTGAGTGCTGAATTGGTTTCTAAGATGGATATCTATTTACAATTTAAATTTGATGCTAGGAACAGTTGGCAACAAAGACTTGGAGCAAGTGAGTTAAAACCAGACCTTCTTTCTCTCCTATTTTATCCTCCAATCATGTTTGTATTGGAATGAAGTATACCAAAATGTGGGAGAAAAAAAAATGGGCTTCAAAAAAATTGAATTACCTTGAGCAGACATGTCTTCTCCTTGCAGAGGGCCCCACTGCAACTGCTCAAGGTTATACTCTTTCTTATCCACTGGGACTCACCCACGAAGTGGTGCACCTCAACTCACTCTCAGCTGATGGCAGCAGTTGCCACTTGCTCATAAATGTAGTCACAGCTGATGATCAGAGCTAGTCCCTCTGATCTACTGCAGGGCTTGACATGCACTAGGAACCCTGGCTGCTAGATGGCATCAAATTTGACTGGTCAGATTCCTTTGTAACAGATGGGTGCCAGAGAGGAATCAGTTGTTAAAGGTCTTCACTACCACCCATGCTCCAGGTGTCCAATCACATGGCATGTAGGGGTGTGAAGGCCTGTTCAACTGAAATCAGAATCAGGTTTGAAATGGAATGGGAGATTTCCCTCCTCCACAAGATTCTGCCTCCAGAATCCTGAACTGCCTGCAGAACTCCAAGGTTCTGCCTGTGAGTCTGAGATACACAGGCCCACGACAGGTGGCCTTGAATGGCAGGATGGGTTAAATGTCATTCTGTCCTCTAACAAGGTGCTGAGTTTGCTTGAACCAGATGGACATCTTGGGATGACCAGCCCTGAGTTCTTGTTCAAGTCTCCTTTTTCATCCTCCCTCTTCCTAAGTTACTTACGGGGAATTATTAATGCCAGCTCTGCCTTTTAGGAAAACTCTGGGCCTTTGCAAGAATCCCGGGGAGGGAGTTAAGAAGCCCAGGGGAAAAAATGATTCAGAGGACCCAGCAGTCTAGTATGATGGTCAAGGGGATGGGCTTTGATCTCTATTGAGCTAGGAGCAAGCATTTGATTTATCATAAGATAAAGAGAGGTGAAACAATCTCTCTGAGTCTCTGTTTCCTTATTGATAAACTGGGGATAGAAACAGTACTTAGTTTAAAGGGGTTTGGAGAGGATTCAGTTAATTAGCATTTCAAAGTAATTAGCACAGTGCCAGGCACATTGAGTTCAACAAATGGTAGTTTTTGGTGTCACTTGTTACTGGCCATTGCCTAAAGGATAAAACATGTTAGTGTCTATGAAGCACTTGGAATAGCTCTTGGCTCACAGCAAGCACTCAATTTGTGCTAACCATCATCATCACCTTCATCATTGTCATGATTGCTATTATTATTATTATTAGCTACTCATTTCTTCTTTAACCAGAGTATTGAAACTCTTTTATGAATTACACTATGAAAACTAGTGTATTGGGTTACAAAAGAAGAGACCTGTACAGACCTGCTTTGCAATCAGGGTGGGATCTTGGATAAGTGATGTTACAGCTCAGGGTCAAGTTAACCCTAACTGATAATAAGAGGGGAGGTTTCCTTAAGAGGAATCCTTCCTAGCCTAGGGATCTTTGAGTCTCAGCCTCGCTTCTGGAGGCTGTGTGTACCCAACACAGCACCAGATTCCGGGAAGATATTTATCCAACATTGAATGCCTTCTGTGTGCCAGTTCTGGGGATACCACAGTAACACAATGACACCTGCTCATGAAGGTTAAACTCAAGACAAAAGCCCAGGGGACTACCAGAAGGACAGTTCAGCTTACAACTTGATCCAACTGATTCTAAAACTTGGGAGCCTACATGTGTTGATCAGGGGCTGTTTCACCAAAGCCCCACCCAGTTTCTGAATAAGAACTTGAATTTGCTTCCTGGCACCCTAGCAGAACTCTCTGGGTGCTTTGCAGAGAACCTGTCTTTCTACACTTCCCTTTCTCATTCATCTCAGCTGCATAACAGTAAGAAAATCAGAAGAGGAACTTTCAAAATAATCACTTAGGAAAAGAGATGTATCTCTCAGAAAAAGCTGCTCAAAGAAAGCCTTGCCCCTTGCCACACTGCATATGATTCCTTGGGCAGAACAGGACCTCTAGGGGCACCACATCAAAAGCCTCATTTTATAAGACAGGGAATCAAAAGCTTCAAAAAAAAAAAAAAGTGGATCTCAGTTTTATTCCTCCAGACAATACATACATAATTTGCTTTCTTCTTTCACTTTTCATTCCTTAGTCTTTGGAAAATTTACCCCAAATCTGGTTCCTTCTGTATTCCCTTCCTGCCTAATGGATCACAAGATTCTACTGTCCATTGTCTTCCTGAAATAACCATTTATTTATTTACTTACTTACTTATACTGGGAATTGAACCAATAGGTGCTCTACCTCAGAGCTACATCCCCAGCCATCTTTTATGGAACCATAGTTGCCTTCTAGGGACTGACACTGGCAGATAATTTGTAATGCTTCTAGCACAGATAAAGAGCAAGTTGGGGAAAGGTGGGCAGGGTTGATGCAACCACATTACAGACTTGAGTAGGATCCAAGGTCTCCTGGAAAGGCATATGGTGAAGAAGATAAAGCCCTGTGACACCCCTCAGTGGCCTCTGAGCCAGAGCACTTACTGGCACTGAGCCCCATCATTCAAAGTTAGGGTGATTCCAAGGATTAATTAAGTGGCTGTGTGCTAAACTGTATTGTAAGCAGAGAGAAGATGCTGGTGGATTATCTCTCATCCACTGTCTCAAATCTTTCCTCTCCCAACCATGGAGACTCCCAGATAGGTCTTTTTCCCTCTGAATTAAACATAGGTATGACCATCTGTGGGTGGGACTTGTGTGTTGGTTCCAATTACATGACCTGTAGAGTACTGGCCCAAGGCATTAGACTAGGAGAGGGTGGTGTCTCAGCCCTGGGTGATGACTGGCCAAGCCAAGAGTCAGCCTGTAGACTAGAGGCACCAGAGGGAAGGAAGACGCCAAAATTGACCTCCTTGGCAATTTTTTCCTAGGATCATACCAGACAGGGGTAAGATAAAAAGAAGTAGGGACCATCACATGAAACAAGTCCCAGGGGACATATTCATAGCAGAAGATCCCTGGGTTTTAAAATATATACTTTATATGCAAATGCCTTTCTTAGCCCAGGCCTTGGGGTTCGTTCTTCCATACCCTACTAGAACAACTTGATGTGGAAATGGAGGCTTCACAATACATTTGGCAGGAAAGTGCAACTTAGGTGCAAAGTGATCTCCTGATGCATTTAAAAAATTAAAAGTCCTGGCATGTAGAAAGTATTGTGTAAAAGTTCAGTGAATGGATAAGCAAGGGGTGCCTGCATAAAAGTGGTACTTTCTATGTTTTCATAACAGAACAATGGGCAGCTGCTGGTCTTTTCGTCTCACATGCTCAAATGTCAGGAGGAGATCTGTGCCAGGTAGAGCCCACATCTCAGGCAGAGGCCAGGGAGCCAAGAGGAAGGACCTCCTTACTGCATCTTCTATGAGCTGGATCTTGACCAATTTCCTTTTGGGACCATGTTTTTGAGGTGAAAAGCATGGGAAAAGTAACTTGTTTCTGTCTTCTTGTGGGAGCTGGTGGCATGTATAGTATTAACTGAACAACATTTGTGAAAGTTTTCAAAGCTCTTGGGGAAACCCAGGATGGAGAGGAGAAAGAGCCAGACAG